GAGCTCTGAGCAACAGGGTCACCAGTTCGATTCCCACATGGGCCAGTGAGCTGCGCCTGAGCTGAGCTGCCAACAGGTGGCAGGATGGCTCAGCTAGTGAGAGCACATGCTCTTAACAGCAAGGTTGCTGGTTGCCTCCTGCAAGGGATGGTGGGCTACGCCCACCCACAACTAAGATTGAACATGGCACCTTGAGCTGAGCGGCTGAGAGCTGCTGATGGGTGGCCGGATGGAGACTGGACTTGGAGCTGAGCTAGCTGTGCCCTCCACAACTAAGACTGAAGGACAACAACTTGGCTGTTCCCATTCCTCAATTCCCCAACACTGTTCTCCTCCCCCAATTCCCCAATAAAATAAAATAATTTAATTATTTGACTGGAAGAAATAAAATCTATTTCTAATCAATACAGTTGCTTATGTAGAAAAGAAAATAATTCTAAGATTACCTCTTACAATAAAAAGGATAGCTTGGCAAGTTCACTGGATCAATATTTAAAAAAAAGTAACATTTATACACACTAGCAACAAAGAGTTATAATTATTAATTATAATAACAACAAGTAAGAGGCTTAGGAATCTATCTAATGAAAGATTTCCAAAACCTCTACTGAGAAAAGTATAAAACTGTAGTGGAAGATATGCAACATGCAAATAAATTTTTAAACTATGTTTATAGGTCAGGACGCTGACTATCATAACAGTTTCAATTCTCCCCAAGTGGATCTATAGATTTAATACAAGTCCAAGAAAAACCTCAACAGAGCTTTTCATGAATCTTGATAAATTGCTTCTAAGATGCATATGAAAACAAAGGGCCAAGAACAGGCACAGCACTGCTGGAGAAAATCAAAGTAAGAGACTTGCACTACCAGATAGCAAGACTTATTTTAAGTGTGGTTATGACTCAAAGGATAGGCCAATTAGGACAGAATTGAAAGAGCAGAAATAGACCTTACACATATGGAAACTTGATCATATTTCGTTCTGCACATATGGAAACAGACCACACTGCAGCTCTGGGGAAAGGAAAAAGTAAACCCCAAACAGAACAGACAGCTATCCTTATCTCACACCATATCAGGGAATAAATTCCAGGGGATTTTAAAATGTAACATACAAAACTTTAGAAAGATTACAAGACAATATAGGATAATGTCTGTTCAATCTTGGGATAAGAAGGATTTCTGAAACAAGGTGCAAAAAGCCCTAACCTTAAAAAAAAAAGATGGATAAATTTGACTACATTAAAACCAATAATTTCTGTTCATCAGAAAGACCACAAAGAAAGAGAGAAGACAAGCCACAACTTGGGTAAGATATTTGCCACACATCACTGACAAAATATATAAAGATTATATAAAACACATAAATAAATAAAGAACTACAAGTCAAGGAGAAGAAAACAAAGCCACCAATAGAAAAATAGGTCAAAGAACACAAACAGACATTTTTTTTTCCAAATAGGCATTTTACAGAAAAGGAAATTTGAGGTCCAATAATCATATGAAACTTGCCCCACTTTCCTAGTTATCTGGGAAATGGAAATGAAAACCATAATGAAATACTGTTTTACTCTCAATTGATTGGTAAAAAATATCCAAAGCGTTGCTGATATTAAGTGTTGGCAAGGATGGGGAACAAGAATGCCTGTGCGATACAGATGGGAGTGTAAATTGGCTCAGCTCCTTATAAAAAACAATCTGGTAGAGTTTTGTGAGATGAACGTTTCATCCTATGTGACCCAGTGATTCTATTTTTGGGCATATATAGTAGAGAAAACCTTTCACAGGTGAACCAGAAACCTTGTGAAAGGAATGCTCATTAAAGCTTGTTGTAAAAAAATTTAAAAAGAACCCAAATATTATTAGGAGGATAGGGAATTAAATTTCATAGTCACAAAATCGACTGATCCACACAGCTGTACAAATGAATTAAATAGTATTATAGGCATCCACATGAATGAATGTTGGAAATATACAGTGGAAGGAGGAGAACAAGTTAGAGAATAATGCGTGTTTTATTATTACTGTTACAACTTTCAAATCCAAGCAAAACTACATTAGCAGTTCATAGACATGTGGTAGAATTATAAAGCAAACCAGAGAAACTCAGGATAGGATTGGCTAATGTAAGGAGATTGGCTAATATATGGAAATTTGACATATTTTCATGATTGTGTTTGGATCTAAGAATAGATGTGTCTTTAATGTCCTGCACAGGATATAGAGGTGGGGTGGATGGAGGGTAGGGGATGGGATAATTTGTGTGTGTGTGTGTGGGGGGGGGATCTCTGAATATGGGAGCCAACATTTCTTGTATCTCTGGGCATTGCAAGCTTCTCTCCACATCTAGAGATGGTCCACTTCCCCTCCACTTAAATCAAGGGCTGGTTTTGTGACTTGCTTTGACTAAGAATGCAATGAAGTAACATTTTGGAACTTCGGACTCCAGGCCTTAAGAGGACTGGCAGTTTCAGCTTCCCCTGTTGGAGGTCTCTTGCCAAGTTGTTAGGAAGTCCAGGCTAGATTATTGATTGGAGCAAGGCTGAGAGTGAGGGGCCGTCTTGAATGTTCCAGCCCCGCCAAGCTCCCAACTGAATGTAAAGCAAGAGGGAGCAGCTGGCTGGTGAGCTCACGAGTATCAGTCACCTCCAGAACGAAGTCATCTGCAGAATCGGGAGAAATAGTACACGGCCAATGGGCCATTAAGTTCCAGGGTGCTTTGTCACACAGCAACAAAGGGAGAGACGCACGCAAGGAATTCTGTGGTGTCGGCAGTCTTTTGTTTCCTAAGTTGGCACATTGGCCATTATGCTTCATAACTTACTAGTGATTTACATACAGCATTTTGTGTAATTTAAATGTTTTGCAATATAAAATATGTAAAGAAAAACGCTAACTTGATGTGCAAAAATGTATCTCCCCAGTTTTGATTTACATAGTCTATGTAATAGTGTTTAAAAAACCATTTTGTCATGCTGGGCAGTGACCCATTTGTATTTTTTTTTAAATTTTATTGGGGAATTGGGGGATGGGAACAGCGCTGGGGAATTGGGGAAGGGGAACAGACAAGTTGCTGTCCTCTTTGTTCTTCAGTTTAGTTGTGGAGGACGTTGCTTCACTGGCCCATGTTAGTATTGTGATCATTGTGCTCTTCCCGGGTGAGGCAATCGCTCACTGGCCATTGGATGGCCGCTCACGACGGCTCACAGCAACTCACACTGGCTGCCAGCCACTCACGGTAGCTTATGGCAGCCCACTGCAGCAGGGGCTGCAGCCTACGCCGTGGCGGGCATCTCACAGCAGCCCAGCTCCAGATCGAGCTGTTGTTCACCATCTTAGCTGTAGAGGGCGCAGCGTCACCAGCCCTCATGTGGGATCCGAACCAGGGTACTGCTGCTCAGAGCTGGCATCCCAAGCCAACTCTTTACCAACATGCCACTCGGCCAGCCCCCATTTGTATTTCTTACTGTGAACTACCTGTTCATATTCTTTGCTTTTTTATCTATTGGGTTGTTCATTTTTTATGATTTATAAGAACTTTGCATATTGAGGAAATTAGCCCTTTTTATGTCTTTCAAAAACATCTCCCCGTTTGCTGCTTGTAAATCTTAATTTTTTAGTCTATTATTGGTGGGTATCATGCTTAGAAAAGTCTTTCCTCATCTGATATTATCTTTTAAATCATCTCAAGTACTTTTATGGCTTCATTTTATATTTAAAACCTTTGATCCATCCAGAATTAATTTTGTTACAAGGAAGTAGGATCCAGGTTAATTTTTTGTCAAAATGGCCAGTTGTTCCATTAAAAAGAATCCACACGTTCCCCACTTAATTTCTTTTGAATTTGTCAGGGCCCTTCATCTTGTCCTATTGACCATTTCCTTTGCTACACACAGAACTCTAATTATTAAAGTTTATAATGCTTATTATCTGAAGGCTATTCCCCATGTTTACTTCCCTAAAAGAACTGAATGTGTCAAGTTAAAAAATCCCGTTGTCATTTTGTAATTGCAATGCACTTAGATTGATGTGCTTTAAGCTTGAGGTGTGTCTGCACTAATCCGACTTTTATGTCCCTCACAGAATTAGAGCTTGTGAACTGTACCAAAGGTGGAGGCACCCATCATCCCCAGGGTAGGACCCACCTCTAGGGCCCCCCCATTCAGCCAAGGCTCTGGGGAGCTCTTCCACTGCTTCCTTCTCTGCAGAATTTGGCCCTGACTTGTGCCAAACCTCGATGGTTGCTTACTGCCCTGAAATTATGGAGAACACACCATCCTTGTATTGAAGGACAAGCAATAATGACGTCATCTTCCATGTGACAGCTGGGGTGGTTTAGAGGCACTTAAAAGCAGCATAGCCTTGGGCGAGTTGTGTAAGCTCGGGGATCCCTTCCCTCTTCCCTTACTTATAAAATGAGTCTTCAAGGCTCATGAGGGGACATCTTCCATCCAAGGCTGAACCAGGACAACCAGAGCACAGCACCCCCGCACACCCTACCCAGGCTCACAGCACAGCCTACAGGATACAGCCCCAGCCCTGTGCCCACCCCCACCTGCAACTTTCAAGTCAGTCAGAAGTCGAAGATTTTTATTGTTCTACAGACACTTCTGAAAAGAGATCTAATTGAGAAAATATACAAAGCGTTTAAGAGTTTCATCTCCAGGGAGCACCTAGGTCTGACTGGAGGCGTTGGAGCCCGCCTCTTCGAGGCTCAGAGCTCAGAAAGGTTAGCACATCGAATGATCAGTAAAAACATGCAAAAGTGAGAAGGAAAAAACGGTGCATTCCCCCAAAGCAGAGGAGGATGGAATTTCAGAACAAAGAGGAGGCAGGATGTGCAAGTACCAGGTGCTCTCCCTCCCGTCATCTTCTCAAGCAGCTCCAAGCACTTAGAGAAGACAAGGAGCCCCACCTGCTCGGCAGGACCTACAGCCGGCAGGTTCTGTGCTGTGCTCAGCCCCACAGGGTGAGGAGACCCTCCTCTACCCAGCTCCGCTGTGGCTGCGGGAACCCGCTTGTGCTTCTGGGGGGCCAGCGCAAGGGGTCCTGGCTCCTCCCTTCTTTGGTTCCACTCAAACGATTGTGCTTGACAAACTTATCCCCACCACCCCCCAAACTCTGGGTTCCCTCTGGTGGGCTGAAGGCACTGATGGGAGTCCTGGGAGACCCCCAGGACAACTGCCTTCCCTTGGGCTCTGGGTGGGTCCATCGCTGGGCACATTACCCCATCCTCAGCCCAGATCCAGGAGCTGGGACACAGGAGGAAGTGTGCCATTCAAGGAAAAAGCCTTTGGGACTCTCCCAACTGTGCAGACGTTTCTGAACCCCACTCCATACCCTTGCCCTCACCCTGTCCCCTCCCCTCCCCTCACCCAGGACCCCCACATGCCCGGCCCCTCCATCCAGTACTTCCCCTGGGCTGCCAGTACAGCTCTGGGCTGGGTCCCAGAGGACCTGACTTCAAGATGGTGGTCACAGAAACCATCTTGGGGTACCCCCTCTGTCCTCAAGACCCAGGGGGGGGTGGTCAGTGGAGGCAGGGGCCTAGAGAGGTCACAGCTCTGGTACAGGGAAGTAGGCAGGGCTAGAGAGGAACAGGGAGACACATCACATCTATGGGAAGGTGTCCACAGTACAAGCGAAGTGAGGTGGGGAGGAGGGCCAGAGAGTAGCTGAAGAAAAGAGAGGAGGTGCGCAGGGGTGGGGGTGGTGGGAGGGAGGCCTTCACACCACCCCGCAGATGAGGGTCTCCACCACGAAGGTGTTCTCGAAGTGGCGGATGGCATTGCAGCTCTTGGCCCCTCGTTTGTTGATCCCTGGGAAGGAACAAAGAAATCCCGGTAAGGCGTGTGTCTTGGCCCCAAACTGGTTGGGCCACAAAGGCCACCAGCCTCAGAGGCTGAGTGGGATCTCAAAACTGGGGGGAGGAGGCGGCCCAGGAGACCACACCCAGATTCGCAGAGACAGGGCAGTAAAATGGTGAGCCCTCAGGAGCTGGTGTCAGACTGCCTGGCTCTGTCACCTTCCTGCTGTGTGACTTTAGAGGTGTTAATTAACTTCTCTGTGCCTCAGTTTTCTCATCTTTAAAAGGGGCAGCAAAAGGCTGGCCGAGTGGCTCAGTTGGTGAAGAGCTCGCTCAGGAGTGCGAACTCTGAGCAACAGGGTCACTGGTTTGATTCCCAGCCCGAGCTGAGCTGCCACTGAGCTACCAACAGGTGGCAGGATGGCTCAGCTAAAAAAAAAAAAACCAAAAAAAATTTTAAAAAACACAAAAAAATAAAGTAAAATAAAAGGGGCAGCAATAACAACAATAATGTTGATGATAATTTACATTCTTTAAGGACATAAGGAGCGTAAAGTAGTGCCGGGCACATATTAAGTGCTCAATTAACATTAGCTGTTATTATTGCTGCTGCTATCTGAGGGCTCTGACCGCTGGTCATCAGCTCTAGGGCCAGGCACTGCCAGAGGACAGCCGTGGTTTGGCGCCCAGAGCAGGGGCAAGTTGAGCGGAGTGGGCCACTCACGCCTCCGAGTAGCCCGGCGTCTCAGCCGGTAGGTGTCCTTCCCGTTGCACAGGTGGTAGATGAAGGAGCCCAGGGCCTCCTTGTCGCTGACATGTTCTGTGACCACCATCTCCTCCTGGATGATGTACGTCTGTGGGAGGTAGGTCCCTCTCTGCAAAGAGAGCGGCCAGAGCTGGGTCACCACCCAGGGCTCCTCTCCTGAGATCTCCACTTGCCTCCTGCCCACCCCCCTTGTCACCATCCTTCTGCTCCCTCAAGCTGTGTCCCCACAATGTTGAAAGGCACACATGACCCCCTCTATCATCTAGAGACCCCACAGCTCAGCCCTTCTGTTGTGCCTGTACTGCATCCTGCATGTAAGGGCGTCTGGTCTCCCATGCCAAGGGCAGGGCCCCGCCTCTCCCTGCACTGCCCACTGGGGCATGGCCGGGAAGCTAAGGGAGCTGGCCGGAGGGTCTTCCCCCGTGAGGGGGCAGAAGCTTAGCGGAGGAGAAAAAGGAGAGGAGTTGGCTCCTGGATGTGGGACTGTTTAGGGTGTTGGGACAACAACGTGCCTGGGACCCCCCACCTTCCACTGAAGGAAGCGCCTTTGCCCCAGGTCTGGCCTCCACAGGGGAAGGCGGCCAAGGAGGGACAAGACGCCACCACCACCACCGCTCACCTTCACGTTCATAAGGAGCTCCCAGAAATTTCGAGGGGGCAGCACGATGGTGGTGTTGAGCTCGATGACATAGCACTTGTCCAGGGAGATGTCGTGGTAGGCTGTCAGACCCTGAAGAGGAGGAGGGGGCCGCGTCAGTCTCTGTGGGGGAGCGCATGGCCCAGGCGGGGCTTCCAGGGGAGGCCTTTGGCCAGCAAAGGCGGGGAACCCCACCCGCCACGGCGATACAACCCCAGGTTCCTGAACACCTGGGCGGGCCCTTACTTGTTCTGCTCCTTTCCTCGCCTGTATCTGTAGGAGGTTCCACTTACTAGCTGAAAGATACCAATTGTTCAGTGCCTCAGTTGTTACAGGGTTCATCTCATGGGGTTACAGAGCTGAGGTTTGGGGAACACAGTAATGTCCCCGCTGTGCATTGCATCAAACCCATCAGGTCCATCCCTGGGGATAGCCCGGACCCTCATCGAGAAAAGCTCCGTTCTGGAGCTGTGTGTGCTGCACCTTGATAAAATGTCAACACAGAAATAACCTCAATAAAAAGGGACACCGGCCTCACCCATGACGGCCAGCACCTGCAGCTGTCAGGTGGCAAGGACAACATCAGCCACAGCTAGCTCACCTTCGGGGATAACTGCGTCACCTATATGATAAAAGCCATGTCTTTAAAACCTTGATAAAGCTAAACCGTAGCCATCTCCTACACACAGGTGACGACCCTCGGTCTATGCTCAAAAGACGTACAAGGGACAGCGGCATTCTGCGTTCATCCCTGTTCTACCCCATGACTCTTGGTGGAAGCAGGGGCTCCGGGTCCCCTGGGACGCCCTCTCACTACCCCCGCCCCAGCCCCTGGCCGGCCTCACCCGCTGGAAGTCGTGGATGATGTCTGCGGGGTCACCGCCGCCAAACTGGGGCACGGGCACATTGATGCGCTCGTAGTTATCTTCGAGGTAGATCTTCACATCTTCCTCCAGCTCCATCCGAGTGCGGATCTGGGAGGACAGGGAGTCCTCGTAGAAGACTCCACAGTGGAAGAAGTTGTCTCGGGCCAGCTGAGCAAGGTGAGGAGAGACAGACGGACAGGCTGGTCACGCAGTGTCCTCAGTGCAGCCTCTGACGCCTACTCTACCACTTTGCGCTCCTGACGCCTTGGGAAGCGGGAAGGGTGGGGCGGTGAGACCCACTTCCCAGATGGAGAAACTGAGAGACGTGGAGAGTCAGGGAGCGTGACCGGGCCTGCCAGTTTCTAGGTGGATGACCTCTCCGGGCCTCAGTTTCCCCATCCGTAAAACGAGGTGATCCCCAGCCTCCCAAGTCCATGAGTCTGTGCTTGTGAAATGGGGTGGAACAGCAGGGGGAGGACCCAGTCAGCCCATGGCCTCCGCAGAGGGACAGACACCTGAGAAAGAGCCTGGGGTGGGCGTCCACTGCCACCAGAGGGCGCTCACCCCATCTTTCAAGTCCCCTGCTGTGGGGCCCTGCAGACCCTGGGGGCACAGGGGGAAAGGGGAGAGCTGAGAGGCAGCCCCGTGTCTAAACACAACGCCCTACCACCTCCCTTGGACCCCGTGCCTCATGAGAAACCATGACAAATGCTGTCCCCTATCTGAGCAGCCAGCCTAGTCACTCCATCAATAAGGGAAGGGAGGCAGTGTGACAGGGCTGCGGACAAGTGACTGGGCAGGACTCCCCTTTGCTTCAGTGTGAGCTCTCCCAGGACGAGTCATTACACATGAATCATACTGTCCTAAGGCACAGACACAGGGGCTGCTCTGAGGTGCCCCCATTCCCTGGGAACTGGGGTGGGTGAGGAACCCCAGGAGGGTGGCGAGTGGGGGCTGGGAATAGAGGGGACCAGGAGCCAGAGTGGGTCCAGGGGAGCGATGCAGCCACAGTAGAGTCCTGCACAGGAAAGGGAGAACCTGGTACAAGTGGGGAGCAGGCCATGGTGGGGGAGGGGGGGAGGGGAATAAGAGGGAGGAGGAGATGGACAAAAGGGGAAGTGCGCAGGTTGCAAGGGGCACAGGTTGCAAGGGGCAAGTCCCACGGAATGCAAACTCTTCAGTAATTCCCATTGTGTCAAAACTGGGTGACAACAAAGTTAAAGCCCAATGCTTTATGCAGTGTGGGTGGCAGGTCGTTATTTGGGTTATAAATGATCGGCAATTCCCAGCCATTTCGCCACTCTGAGATTCCCTGTTCGTTGAGTTTAGGATTCTTCTTTTGAGCTACCTTCAATTTAACTACTTTAAGTTCTCAGAACTGTCTCCCTCCCCCAGTCTGAGCTGTTCACAAGGTCACTGTGACCATGACCAGTTCTCCCAGCTCGGCTTCCGGCCCAGAGTGGCTGTGTGGGCAGATAACTGGGGGTGTGACCATAGCCAGGGCCACCTTTACAGGAGGCGGTGGGGAGTCTGTCTACAAACCCACTTTTCTCGTTTTCTAATCCAAACATCCAAGCATGAAATGGAATTCTTAAAGCATGACCCACAGGCACAGGATCCCAGCTCTGAAGGGATCGGAGAGTTCCAATTTCCACCAGATTTGAGTTTCCGGTGATCCTGTCCCAGGGTGACACTGTGGGAAGGGCCCCTGGGACACACAAGCCCAGATTCCAATCCTGGCTCCCCTATCGCTGGCTATCCTCCTGGAAGAGCTCCCTGTTGCCCTCAGGTGTGACTGAAGAGATGGGACACTCTTCTAGGGTCTGTGGGCTTTAGAGGACGGGGCAGCAATCCAGCCTCCTGGACTAGTGTGAGGCTCCGCAGGATGAGCGGCTGAGCATGGGCTGGCCTGAGCCCAACGAGGGCCCAGGGTGGAGGGAGGATGGTCTTCAGGGCTAGTCTAGGCACTCCTCCTGCCCGAGAGGGGTGGGGGCCCGTCCAGGGCTTCCTGCTGCCCCTCTCCTCACAAGCCCCAAGCACCTAGCTCGCGACTGCTCACTCTGCCCTATGCTGCCAGGTCCCACACCCACTACAAACTCGCCCGCTTCCCTCCGTTCCTCTCTAAACACCCTCCCTCCCCTGAGGCCCTGCCTCCCCTGCCCGGTCTCACCTGAGCAAGGAAGAAGTATCTGTAGATGTAGACAGAGGCGAACACGAGGCCCATGAGCAGCACGACCATGCCCATCGACAGGTAGCACACGCCGCCCACAGAGCCCCCCTTCTTGTAGCGGTGGTAGGGGGGCCGCTCCTCCTGTGGACAGCAGTGCAGGGTCAGCCAGGTGCGAGTCCCGCACCCTGGGGAACCCTCTCTGGCTTTCCCGAAGCGAGACCTCACCCTGCTGGTGGGAGGGAGTCTTGGGGCAGGGGGAGGGAAGGATGGTGCTCAGGACACACAGAGCATCACCTGGAAGGAAAGGAAGCCTCGCCAGGCTCTGCCCAGCTCCTCCTCCCGGGTACACAGAGACAACCCACAGAGAAGCCACGTAACGCGACCCACTGGGTTAGGCAGGGGCATTTGGAATTCCCCACGCCACGAGAGCTTCTTTAGACTGTGATCACAGTCTGTTCCTTCAAACACAGAATGGGGGGAAGCACAGACACGGCCTTAGTGATTGTGCCAGGCCTTGCCACCTGTAGGAATTGGGGTGCACTGGGCAGGCTGGGAGCCACTGCTCTGGGCAGCGGGAAGCCCAGGAAGGCTTCTGAGGTGGAAGCGACAAGCTCCATCTGAAGGCCGGAGTCCACAAGGAAGTCTGGAATGGGGGGGGGGGTATGTGGCAGAGAGCAGTCACTGGCTGATGGGGACAGGGGCGCTGGGAGACTCATGGGGTCTGGGCAAGTGTGCCTGTCTCCCTGCGATCCACACTGCCTAGAGCTCAGCCTGCCGGGGGCAGCAATGGCCTCACAGGCACTGACTGGCTGGCAGGAGTGCAGCCTGCAGGGTGAAGTCTGGAGGCTTCCGGAAGCCAGCACGCTTCTGTCGGGAGGGAAACGGGGCTTTGGTAGCAGCAACTGACCTCAGGGACGCCAGGGCAGGAGGGTCCTAGAAAAAACCTGCTCTGGGGCCAGACTTGGGCTCAGGATAGTAGCTGCAGAGCTGCCAAGAAGCAAGCCAACCTGACCCAACGTGTCTGGGCAGGTGGATGAAGGAGTGTGTGTAAAACTCAGTAACACTGCTTCACCCGGAGCACTGGACTGAGAGTCTGGCGACTCAGCCTCGACACCAGCTGTGTGACCTCGGTCATTGCTCGTCTTCATGCCTGTCCTCCCTACCACCCCTGCCCTCGCCGAGGCCCTTATTCACCCTAGATGTCGCAAAGGTGTCAGATCTGTCTCTGCCTGCGGGGTTTACCATTCAATCCCACCTCTATGGTGTCCAGATACAGCCAGGGCGAGGTGAGAGGTCAGCCCCAAGGAGCCCCAAGGAGCTGAGGCAGTGTCAGGGGAGGGGGGGCTCCAGCCCCCGAGCCTGCAGCTTCTCACTCCACCTCTGCCACTAACTGCCTGCTTAGCCCTCTTAGTGCCATGTTTCTTTTCTCCTTTCATCCTGGAGAGGATGGCAGGAGGGTGGGGACACAGTTCAGGTCCAAGTTACCCAGGACGGGCCCTTATCTCTCAGCATAGCACAGGAGGTCCAGCCTGGTAGGGATGGGGCACACAGCCTGCTGTGCCTCTCAGGTCCCCTCCCCTGTAGCCCCCTGGCTTAGTACACACGGGGGTGTGGGTCCCAGGCCTCAGGGGGCAGGAGTCCCATCAGAGGGGCGTACACCACCCTGCTTGGGGAGCGTAGAAACACCTGAAGGACCCGCCCCCATTCTGAGCACATCCATCACCAGGCCAGCCGGCCCCCAGCCTCAGCATTCATGGGATGGAGACACAGGATGGAGGGGTGCCCCCGCCCATTCTGCTCTCCACCACCCCCGTCTACCCTCCAGGGAGCTCGCCTGGCAGGAACAGGAGGTCAAACCCATCGCCCCTCGCTGGCTGGGCCCATGTGTGTGTCCTATGATCAAGACCAGAGAAGCAAGTTTGTGAGGCCACCCACCTGGCTGGCATCTTCTCAGCACCCTGGGGCTCCCTAGGGGCACTAACCAAGGTCACTAGCACACGTGGCCACTGCCCACAGGGCCCTTAGGGACAGCTGCCAGCTGGAGGGGGGACAGGGGAACCAGAGAGCCAAGCTCTGTCAGTGTCTCACAGGAATAAGCCACTCCAGGGCCTCCCGCCGTCACGAGTGGGTCGTTAGGAGTGGTGGCTGACCAGAAGGCAGGCCAGGCCAACCGCACCAGCTGTGACTTCTGTCCTGGAGCAACGTTTGTTATTTAGTGGGATGACCAGGGTGCCGGGGCGCAGTGTTGAGAAGGGCCCCGAGGGCCCAGTGGGGGGCTTGGTCCATGAGTGGGTGCACAGCAACCTGCCTCTCCCTCCTCAGGTTCTCACGAGAAATGTGAACAGACGCCTCCACTCAGGGTCTTGTCCTAAAGGGGTTTGGTCAGGATTAAAGGTGACAAAGGACCCCAAAGCCCTTGGTAAAGGGCAAAGTGCTAGATAAAAATAGCAGATCTTTATCAGCTGAACCGTCCCTTTTTAGGGCCACCACTGTGGGCAGCTGCTGAGGCTGCACAGGGGTCCGGCTTTTGCTCCTGCGTTTGGGAAAACCGAGAAGCAAGTTTGTGAGAACTGCTTAGAAACAACAACAAGGTCAATGGGCTACAAGCGGGAGCCCAGGGGCCTGCTCCACAAATGAAGTACCTGGTGAAGGTGAGGCCAGTGTTACAGCTGCCTTTCTGCTTCTAGCTGGGTCAGGTGTTTCTACATGCCTGGGGGAGGGGCCAGGCATGGCAGCTGGCCAAGGGAGTTGGGGAGAAGAGGTCAGAGAGGACAGGGCAGGGAGGGGCTGGGGCTTGAGTGGCCCAGCTGAATGTGAGGAGTGGCCAACGTGGCTGAGCAGGACAGAGCCTGCTCTGTGGGGGTCACTGTGAAGGCTGACTATGCCCCACCTCTCCTGGATGTGCGGTGGTAAAATGGCTGCCTATCCCACCCCTACTGACACCCCCTAGTGCACACTGGGGGCTCACACTCTGCTCCCCTCCCAACCCCATACTCCTCCAGCCTGTGCGGGGCCAAACCCCTAGAAGCATCACGGCCAAGCAGCGGCTAGAAGTAGGACCAGAGGCTGTCATGAGACAGATGGGGAAACCACAGATGTCCCTGCTTCCAGACAAATGGGTCCCACACAAGAGGGAGGGCCCCTAAATCCTGCCCCCATGCTGTCATTGCTTCCTGGGCCTAACAATACACAACCAAGACCAAGATTTGAATTCTAAAGCCCTGGCTTATTCACAGGCCCCTCACACTTGGCACTTGCAGCCAGTCAGGAGCCTCTGGGGAGCACACAGTCAGCCTGGGTCAGAACCCGGGGCCTCACCCCTGGGAACCCCTGGTTGCCCAGCTCACCCTGGGACCTGCTTCTGGAAGCCCCCAAGCTGCTTCACCAGTCATGCTAGAGACCTAGGAAAATGCAGCCCCCTACATGGAGCAGTCACCTACCTACAGCCAGGCATTTGGGACCTTCCATTTAGAAAGTAGAAAAATACCGCATACTGTTTCCACGGCAACTGGGCTTTCTGAACAAAGTGCCTGGCTATGCACTCGTGTGGGCCACGTGAGCCAGACCTCCGGGGACTCGAAAGGGGCCTGGGCCTCTGCCTGCCGGCTTCACTCAGGTCCTCAATGGCTCCCATTAAATGGTTTAGCGAAACGAGGGCCAAAACAGTCAGGGGGAACCCAGCCAACTGGAGCATTAACTCAGCAGACCCTCATGGTCCATGGAGAGAGCTCCCCAGCTACCTTTCCTTGGTGACAATGTCCAAATTATCTGCAACCAGATTAAACTACAGTTGTATGCTCTTTGGAGAAGGCCAGCAGGGAGCCAGAAACGCACTCATTGCAGGCCGGGCAGGACTGGCGGCCAGTGGGCAGAGGGGTCTCGCTTCATCTCCCCAGCATCTTTCTCTCCCAGGTTGCAGGCCACAGAGACAAGGGCACCAATATATGTCTGTGTGTGTGTGTGGGCAGCCTGATGGCATGTGGGGGGACTGGGCAAATGCCCTCTGCCCACTAGAACACACAGAGCTGTGTTCAGGTGTACACACATCAACTACGTAAATGCCGACAGGAGGTCATGAATTTGCCACTAGCAGAACCCCATTCTTGTTGTGTGGCCAGCGGCACCCAAGGTGCAGGCCAGGTGAGAAGGCAGGCTGTGAGCCCCTGAGAACACTCCGGCACAGCCCTCTGCTCTGCCTGGCTCGTCTGGGCAGAGTCTCTCTTCTGTCGCATTCCTGACAGTCAAGATGAGTCTCAGAGAAAAGCCCCAGGAGGACGAGAAGAAAGCTGGCTGCTGGAAGAGCTGTCCTGAGGGAGAGAGAACACGGAGAAGCTGCAGGAGGCGGCGCAGCCAGGTGGCGCTTCTGTGATTTTACCATAAACAGTTTTTTGTCACTAAAAGAAACTTACTCTCCTTGGCAGTCTGCTGCAAGAATGGGCTGAGAGGAGATCAGAAAAGAGAGAAATAGAGAAAGCAGAAAGGGCACTGAGGCGCGTGTGCCAATGCCAAAACTCCTCTGGGAAGGCCCTGCGAGGGCCAGGAAGGAATAGGACAGCCCCAAGTCCCCACATTGCTGTGAGGCAGGAACCTGGAGCAGGGCTGCGTTTCCACAAAGGTCCTTTCAGCCCAGCCCTTAGGACCGGTGGGTATTGGGGCGGGTATTGGGGCGCTGGGGCAGGGACTCCAATCCTGGCCAGATCCGCCCTCCTGGCTGGCAGGGGACCCCTCCCCCAAGCACTCCAGAGACCCAGTTCCCTCCTGCTAAGGGCCTGAGGCCAGTGCACAGAAAGTGAAATCTGATTCTCAGGTATGCAGGCTGGGGAAGGGAGCCACACAGGGGCCATTAATCAAAGGCAAAAGCCAAGGAGAAAATTACAGCGTTGAGAAGATGACTGTATTGAATAAGTTTCTCTCCTCTTGTAGCCCAGTAGCCTGGCCAAGTCTGGACATGCCCATACCTGGGGGGTGGGGGTGGGGTGTGTGTGCGCGCGCGCGTGTGTGCGTGCGTGCGCGTGCGCGGGCTGTGGGCAGAGGGGGAGCAGGCTGAGAGGAAGAATGATGCAGCCAGAAGGTGCTAAGAGGGGGTGCTTCCCATCCAGCCCACTTTCCAAGCTGGCTTACAGCCAGTCACCTATCAGTGCAGGCTCCTCATTATCTCAGAGGCAAACACCACGTGGAGGGTGGGCAGCTGGAGGCCCAGCTGGGCCCCCACCCCCACCCCTTTCCAGCCTACTGAGGCCCTTCTTTCCAGCAGCAGGTCAGGATAAAATCCTCCTTGTTTCAGTTTTTGCTCAGAAGCAGGGGGAGCCTGCTCTGAGGGTGCTGCTGCTGCCTTACCCTGCCCCCCCCCCCCCCCCAGGCATGCACACAGGTCGACATTTTATTATAGCAGCCAGAGGGTGGCTCACCACTGAACAGCAGTCAGAAACTCATCTGCTCATCCAGTGGTCCCTCCAGGCCTTTGAATCTTATTGTTGAGCCCAGTTCAGTAACCAAAAAGGGATCTAGAGTCTTCCCCAGCCAGAGAAGACCTTCTGCTAAGCTCTGCATCCCCACCCAAGTGGCACAAAACCCAAACGTCCTGTTCTGGTGAGGCAGGTCCAGGGGCCTCCCAGTCTGCCGGCCTGTGCCACCTGCCCTCTCCTTCAGTGCCCTAATAAATGGCTGATACTCTGTCCTGGGCTATAGCTGCAAATGCTGGCACCTGCTGTGCTCACTTCCTGGGAACCGGAGGTGGGAAATGTGGCCAATGGCGGGGGAGGCCCCCCCGAGAGGCTCAGGGAAGTGAATTCTCTTCTCCCAAGGCTCCAATTCCAGCAGCCAATCAGTAAAGCCAAGATGCAATCTGTGCATCTCCCCAAGGCGTTGGGCAGCTATGAGAGTTTACTAATGTGCACACCTGTCCGATAGGTGCCAGAATTTTAATCCTCCTCCTGGGCCCTCATTGGTTCGTCTTGACAATTAAGAGACGGAGGGGACCCTGCCCAACTAACAAGGTTTGGGGGAGGAGGCTGCTAGCAGGCTCAAGGCCATTACAAACAGCACCAGGAAGATGTGGATGTTTCCACTTCACACTGGGTGAGGGGGAAGAGAGGATGCTGGATTTCGGCGCCAGAGGCTGGATGTCAGTTACTGCCGAGGTGATGCTGGCCTCTGCCATCCGGACTTGCCTGACACCATCAGCAGGCTGCTGCTGGAGAACGTGCCACTCCTTGCGAAATGTGGTGGACCTTGAGATGGAGTTTGGATTACATCCTCCCATTTGCTGTCTGGCTTGTCCTCCCTCTGGCCATAGTCCTATAGCTCTCAGAGGCAGGGTCCTGTTTTCCAGGCCTCAGCTGGGTGCCAGGCAGCTGAGAGAAGGGGCAAGAATGCTGCCTTGGGCTCCCATCCCTGCACTCTCACTGGGCTGAGGAGGGAGGAAGAAGACTTGAAGAGCCCCCTGCAAACTTTTAAAGTTGCAGACCACAGTCTTCTACGATGGAGTGACCCTCCCCATCTAAGCATCAGATGACGGAGCTGCTCAGGTGGTGGCTGAAGCAGCAGCAGCCACACCAGGGCAAGGGAGCTCCCCCAGGCTCCTCGAATTGAATTCTGCAGTCAGGGTATTTCCTCAGGCTATGACACCCACCTCTGAGGCTCCTCTCCAGCGACCCCTCTTCCAGGACACAGGGACTATTCAACTGTCAACCCCCCCACCCCCACCCCGTCATCCGCTGGGGCAAGGTTGATCTGAGCCACAAACCTGGAGAGGAGCCTTGGCACTGAGGGAGCCTACTCAGAAGCCAGCACTGGGAAGAGGGAATGGACAAAGACTTTCGAAGACCTGTCTCGGGTGGGGGGTGGGGGGTGGGACCTTGGTGTGCCCCAAGGCAGTCAGGGACGACGCTGCGTTGACACCTTTGCCAGGACACTACGAGCCTGGCTGGACCAGCTCTCCCTCCCATCGCCTCCGTGCTCGCCACGCGTCCTGTCTCCTCCGAGCCCTCCCCAGGTCAGACTCCACGCCGCTCAGTTTTCCACCGCGGAAATGCCTTCTCTACCCAGGCCGAGGGCAGGGAGAGGCGGGGTGCGCCGAGGCCCACCTCCACAAAGCACGGCGGGGATGCGGGAGGACACCCGGGCAGAGAGGGAGCCTTCCCGCGGGGTGGAGGGGGCAGCCGGATTGAGAGCAGAGAGAGGAAGGAAGAGGGGTCAGGGAGGCCCAGGCGCAGGGGGTGGGGTGGGGTGCGATCCGAGCGCCCAGCCTCGGAACTCCGAACCTGGAACCCCAGACCTGCGGCCAGACCGGTTCTGGTTTATTTTAATTTCATCTTTCAACACTTTCTGGTCCACCAATTCAGGTGCACTGTAGCAGCAAGCCTGTCTCCCGCAGCCCGGTGAGGGACGAAATCAACGGTCCCACCCCCTCCGCTGCCAATAGACGCCCCCTCCCCCGCCCATTCTCCACCAATCACGACCCACCGTCCTACTTTGGGGAAACAACGGCCAACCTTCCTCCCATCCCCCAACCTGGAGACTTGACTCTCGGCCCCTCCCCCTGATTGGAAACAGACGTAACCCTCCCCCCCCCAACATTCCTCGAACTTCTTCGGATCAGTCCCTTCCCCCTATTTTGGGGCTAGGCGCCTAAGTCCCCTCCACTTTGGGAAGAGACCTTGAGGGCTTCCCCACCTGGGGACTAGCGACTCGGACCCCCTCCCACATTTAGGACTTAGGCATTTGGCTGCAGTTTTGGGACAGGACCCAAGCCCCCTCCCCACTTTGGAATAAATGACTCATTCCAGACTCCCATTCCGGCTCCGCTCACGACTCTGGGACCCCGATGCGCCCCAGTCCCCGGGGCCGGAGAGGCACGTCTTGGTCCCCCACCCCCCGCCTGAGCTTCCGGCACCTCTCACCCGAGCCGGCGTCAGCAGGATTTCAGCGGCCGGGCCCGGCGCCGGGGCCGGGGCCGAAGCCTTGTCGGCCTTGTCGCCCTTGATGCCGGCCACCGCAGGCTGGAAGCTGATCTTCACCATGGCTGCGCCGGGCCGCGGGTCCGCCCTGCAACCTCTGCCTGTGCAGCCTCTCTCTTTGCCACCGCCGCTCCGCACTCTGCAGGCACCGGAAGTTTGGATACAGCTCGCGTCCCTTTCTCTAACCCCACCTCCAGCCCTCCCCGCCCCTGCCCACGCCCCCCACAGGGGGGCCTTGGCGCCCGCTGCGCCTGCGCCCCCTTGCTGCCCGCTGGGTGCGCTGTGACCCCTGCCGGGTGTGCTGCTCCCACCGGGAGCGGACTGAAGTTCCCTTCACCCCTCCCTCTCTCCACCCACCCACCCATCCATCCATCCATCCGTCCGTCCGTCCGTCCGTCCATCCATCCATCCACCCACCTACCCACCCATCTATCCAATCAGGCATGGACTCAGCCCTCTGTTCAGCCTTATCCCTCTCCAAGACCAGCATCCCCAGAACACATAGTTCATTAAAACAGTGTTTGCTAGGCAAATGCAGCCTCCTCGTCCCCCTACCCCACTTCATACCCTCCTCTTTGGAAACCAGGAGTCTCCACTGGACCTGCTCTGGTTCCCTCCCCCAACCTGTCCCGGACTCTGGGAGGAGGCTTCAAGGCCAGGCACCTAACTGCTTGCCTGCATCCTGTATCCATCCCCACCTCATTCATTCTGTCATCCTTTTTCCTTCATCCTTCATTCCTGCAGAACCTTCCTGAGTGCCTTTTGGGGTGCATGCTGATGATGCTGAGAGTAGAAAAATGAAAGCAGCCTGCTGCCTCAGTTACTGAACGACAGGCCCTATCCCCCATTTCTCACCATTCTGGGGGGATTATGGCAAGTGTGGTGGGAAGAGCTGCAGGGCAGGTGTCCTTGGGTTTGGTTTCCAGTTAAGACTCTGCCCCTGCAAAGCATCAGGGCTATTGGGAAGGAGCAAGGACTTCTGTTGCTGAGGTGTCTTGGAACCACAGCCTGAGATCAAATCCCCTGGTCCGGGCTGGATTGAGGACAGTGCCCAGCAAACCACATAGAGTCTTGGGCTGAACACCAGCTTTGGGTGTTCAGTTGGGCTGACAGGGGAAGGCAGGAGAGGGCGGGGCTGAGAGCCTGCCTTCAGTCCTCCACGGACCTCTCTTCTCTTGTGTTTGGGTTGACTGCCTTGAGCCCTGGGTGCCCACGTCCCAGACTTCTTAGCTCAGGCCTTGGATGAACCTTGATGACAGACAGGTCCAGAAGGAAGAAGGTCTAACTGATGCGAAGGCCACCAGCCTGGGAAATTAGGAGGGAAATGGGGAGATGTAAAAAGATGATTTAGAGGAGGTGACGAGGAATTTGGTTTGGGTGAGGACCAGAGAGAATGGTGCTATTAATCGACTCTGAGAACTTTTAGGTGAATCTCGGTGTTTGGAGGAGCTAAGCTCCCAGCCCTCAGTTAGATTCCCACTCAATGCCCCCAAAATTCATTGTCCACTCAGAATGTGTTTTCCAAGTGCCTCTACATGCCAAGCATGTGTCAATTAAGTCCTGTGGCAGAAAACAGAAAGGCCCGAGATCCAACCCAGCAACCAAGGACCTGATCATGTTTATCCTTCCATTTGCCAAATGCGTTTTTGGTCTCATTTTCACCGCAGCTCTTGTGATCTACCATTGGCCTCATGTTAGTAATGGAAATGAGTTTGACTAATGAGGAAAAGAGGATGACGAGGGTCGCAGAGCCAGCAGGGGGCAGATCCCTGGTGAGCAAGACAGGACCACCAGGTGGAAGCCTCTGGGTCCCTGAGGCTGGCACACATGAGCCCTGCCTTCTCCGGAAGGCCTTCTCTGAACTCTTCGGTCTAGGTTAAATCCCTCCACCCTGTGCACCCTCTGTGCTGCGTACAGCCCCCTTACACCTCTTCTTATCTTTGACCTTGGGCCCCCACCAGCCAAATGTAGACCCGTATATCCCACTGCAGTGATTCTTAAATGTTTGGTCTCAGGACCCCAAAGAACTTTGTTTTATATGGGTTATGTCCATCAACATTTACTCTGTTAGGAATAAAATTCAGAAAAATTGAAAACACAAGAATACATCTATCCCATTAGCCATCAAAGAATGTCAACATAAGTTGTGTAGCCTCTGGAAAATTCCATGTACACTAATGAGAGAAAAAGATTGAAAGGCAAATAATGTTTTAGTATTATTGCAAAAACAGTTTTGACGTTGCAGGACCCCCTGGATGGGTCTTGGGGACTACTGGGGTTTTGGGACCACACTTTCAGAACTGCTGTTCTGGTAGACGTTCAAGAATCCATATTCCATGGCTTCTAAGGTACGTAGTTGTTCATATCTTACCATCTCTGAAATCACGATGTTTTTGCACAACTATAATTGGCAGTGGTTTTTCTTTCTTAATGTACCTAAAGCAATGGCGTGTCTTACAACAAACAGAGTCTTGGAGCTGATGGAATGCAGTATAACCAGTCAATAACCCAAGGGGCTCCCGGAGGCAGCATGAAGATAACATCACACACTGAATTTTGTGGGTTCAGGTAGGGATAGCAAAGTGAAGTTGGGGTAGGAGGAACAGCCAAGCCTTCATGGAAAATGTCAGATTTAGGTGGGAGCTGGAAAGACAGACAGGGTGTGGATGGGGGGCAGGGACATGAGAGGCAGACTGGTGGGGGAGGAGTGGACCTGAGCCGGGAGCCCTCAGCCAGCATTTCAGCCACAGCCAGCCTTGTAATCCTCTTTCTCCACCTGTCCTTTCATCCCACCCAAGTGACAGAGCCCCTCCTGCTCACCTCCCTGGTTCCAGGGCCCGCTCAGGTGCTGCTAAGTTCTGTTGGGGAAGGTAACACCATCATGTCCTTTGGAATCACCATGCTACCCCCTCTTCTGGGCCCTCGGTGCTGCTGAGCAGGCCCATAGCAGTCCCTGTGAGTGCTGCCCCTTGGAGCTAAGCAATGGATAGGTGTGGCTTTGTTCTCAAAGTCATTCTCAAAGCAAGAAACCCGACCAGCAGCACCGGCAGCACCTGGGAACTTGTCAGAAAGGAAAACAATCTTATTCAGAAACTCTGGGAACCTTCTGTGTTTTAACAAGCCCTAGGGGATTCTGATGCCAACTCATTTGAGGACTACTACTCTCGTCAATTCTGTCCACACCCCACAGCTTCCTCCTGCCTTCTTCAGACTGCCCTCTCCTCAGTAGCTGAGTTCCCCCTCTTTCTTCACAGAGAATCTAGGAGCCATCCTGTGAGAACACCCTCGTGCTGGCCAGCAGATCCACCAGCTTCCCCCAGCAGCTCTCCCTTGGGCTACTGCGCTCCCCCTGGCCCTTCAGTTTGGAGGAGGTGTCTGTCTGTTTTTGCTCTCCTCTCAGGCGCATCCCACCTTCTTGGCGAGTATTCTACCCTCCCGTCATCTCAGATACCTTAAGGACTCTGTCATCCCCTGCCCCCAACCCATCACCGCCCTTTACTCTAGCCTTGTTCCCCCTTCCTTCCTATCAGTTCTGAACATGCATGTTAACTTTAAAATAAAAACAAAATACCTCCATTGACCCCTTGTCCCCTCCACTTGGTACACTCTTTCTCTCATTTTCTTCTTGGCCAAACTTACAGAAAACTTGGTCTCCATTTCCTCACTCCTCCCACACTCATCCTAGCTGGATCTGGCTTCTCTCCTCACACCTCCACCTGGTGGAAATCTCCAAGCATGTTCTCAATCCTCATCTTCCTTGGGATGCTTTGGGGGTGCTTGGCCACATCTTCTCCTGTGGCTCCTCCCCTTCCCCATAAACCAAGCTGAGGAGCAGGGATTGGCCCTAGTAGGAAGGTCTCCTGGAATCAACCCCTGAAACAGTTCATTTTAAAACTAAAGCCCCAAATGTGAGCTTTTACATGTGTTTACCTCTTTCTCCAAATTGAGTAGTTGGGTGCTGTCCTTAAACGATATCTGATTGGGCGGCCGGTTGGCTCAGTTGGTTAGAGCACGGGCTCATGACATCAAGGTTGCTGGTTTGATTCCCACAGGGGCTAGTGAGCTGCGCCCTCTACAACTAGATTGAAAACAACAACTTGACTTGAAGCTGATGAGTCCTAGAGAAACACACTGTTCCCCAATAAAGTTTTAAAAAAATAATAATAATTTTTAAAAAGACATCTGATTTATTACAGTGTAAAGTGCTGGGTATTTGAGACTTACAGTTATAATTAAGCCTTGGATAGTCAGTGGAGTGGCTTGTTGGAAATGCAATGGTCTCAGGCAGGGGTCTAGACACCACCCTCAGAGTTCTATCAGCTCCCCAGAACTTAATTCATATTATAACTGAAAGTTTGTACCCTTCGACCAAACATCTCTTTATTTCCTCCATCTCCTGGCCTGTGGTAACCACCATTTTATCCTCTGGTTCTGAGTTCCATTATTTTAGATTCCACATATAAATGAGATCATGCAGTATTTGTTTTTCTCTGTCTGGTTTATTTCGCCTGGCATGATACCCTTCAGGCTCATCCATGTTACCACAAATAGCAGGATTTTATATTTTTTTAATGGCTGAATAATATTCCATTGTACATATACACACCACATATTCCTTATCCATTCATCCATCAATGAACATTTAGGTTGTTTCTATGTCTTGGCTATTGTGAATAATGCTACAATGAACAAGGGAGTGCAGATATCATTTCAAAATACTGATCTCATTTCCTTTGGATATATATCCAGCAGTGGAATTTCTGGGTCATAAGATAGTTCCATTTTTAATTTTTTGAGGAACTTCCATATTGTTTTCCATTATGGCTGTACCTGATAAGTGTATTGAAGAAAGAGTTCTGAAAAAGTCAATAGAAAGAGACAAAACTCTGGAAAATATAATTAATAAATACAAAAAATATTAAGACAATGAGAAAGAAGATCTAAAAGGTGACACTCACAAGTTGCAATATATTTTATATACATATCTAATAAATATAAATATTCTGAAATGAATTTGTGGAAAATTATAAATGGCCAAAATGGACTCAAGAAGAAATAGAAAATCATAGTGCCCTATAATCAAGGGAACTACTGAAAAAAATTCTCAAGCATTTACCTCAAAAAATGGCTCTGAGCAGCCAGACCACTGGATAGTTCTTTCAAACTAAAGGAACAGCTAATTCTAT